ATGTCTAGTTTTGTTTCTTTTTGTTTCTTTTTTTTTTTTTTCTCTCTTGCAGCTAAAAATCTCCGTCTCGCGATTAGACTAAGCTACTTTTTTTTTGTTCTGCTTTATACTCCGAAACTGGCTCTTTTTTTTTTTGTTTCTTTGTTTGTTTGTTTATCTAGATTTTTCTGGCACTTCGGTAATGACCATTTGCGTTTGCTTTCGTGTTTGCTGTTCTCCCCTCTCGTTTCCTGCGTAATTTTTTTTCGATTGCGCGTGCTCGGCTTGGCACCGTTCTTTTTTTTTTTTTTTTTTGTTCCGCCGTCGAGAGCTACCCGCGATTCCATCCCGCGGCTCTCTCGAAACTCTCCTGCGAACGACACGCGTTTATTTATACTCTTGTATCCGACGAGCTGGAGAAAAAGGAAAGGCGAGAAAGTGTGGTCCGATTAATTTGCAATTGTCGCGTAGACTCGACAAATTTTCTCTCTCTCTCTCTCTCTCTCTTTTTTTCTTTTTTTCTTTTTTCTTTTTGTTTCTTTACCTAACGACTACGTATAATTCTCTAATTATAGACGCAGAGCTACGTCGTTTCATTTGTATCCTACCAATTCCTACGGATCGACTTCCACGATTTTATTTAATTTTCTTCTTCTTCTTCTTCTTCTTCTTCTTCTATTTATTTATTTTTTTTCTTTTAACGGAACGTTAAAGATCGGTTCCGCTGGCAATAATAGATTGTCATAGGTTTTTCACTTCTTCTTCCCCCCTTTTCTTCCATATTTCTTCTTTCTTTCTTTCTATCTTTTCGGTTTGCCTCGACTTGCATCCCACCTCTCGTTTCCACCTGTAACTTCAGACTTCACTCTTCAAGCATCCTTCCTCGTGTGTCTGTTTCCTTAACCAAAGAGAAAAAAAAAAAAAAAAAACAAATCCACACCCGATCCGCTCTTAAACCCTCCTTCACCCCCTATACGTTTGGCAAGCTCACGGCGGCAAAGTTACTAGAATATAACGACTATATTGTCATGCACTACAGTCTTTCTTAGAGCCCAACGTGTTGAACCCTCGTAGCACCCTCCATGGTACTTTGCCGTGGATACCATGGTCGGCTAACAGTTGCATAGAGATCTCTCTCTCTCTCTCTCTCTCTCAAGATTTTAAGAAGGATCAGAAGGTCCGCCGGACCTCTCCGTTTCCTCGTTCGCGTCGGGCACCGCGGTCACCGACGAGCCGCTCGTCGACGCGTCCTCCTCCTCCTCCATCTCCATTTTCACCTCGTTTCTCGATCTCCTGCCCCTTTGACGATTGTTGCTGCTCGTCGTCGAGTCGGTGTCGTCCACGTATATACGAACGTCCGGGCCGATGACCGTAATCTCCGGCACGTGCACCACCGCGCTGCCGTTTCTGCTTCCGCTGCCGCTCGCGCTGCTTCCGCTCGCGCTGCCGCCGATCATGCTGTCGCTCGTGTTCCCCGTCGACATCGGCGACACGTCCTCCGATCGAGCAGCATGCTCGCCCAAACAACCACCACCACCACCACCACCACCACCACCACCGCTCTTCAGCTTGGACGGCCTCCTTTCGTTAATGATCGACTGCACGTCGAGATCGTCCGCCGGCGGGGCCGATACCCGTCGTCGATCGTCCATCAGCCTCGAGGCGACGCGACCGTTGTTCGCCACGCTGCTGCCCGTTGTTCTCGAGGCGGTCACGTCCGACTGCGTGTCGCTCGACGACGGCCTCCGGCACAACGTTGCCTTGGACGGGTAAATAGTGGCCGTTGGCAGAAGGTAACGCTCGCTGATCTGTCGGGGACTGGCCAGGCCGGTCACCGAGTTGGCCGGTGAAACCGGCGACGAACTCGCCGGCGGCTTGCTCACGGTCAACAGTGACTTGTTCTCCTGACCGTCGCTGCTCGCCTGCGAAAAAAACAGTCAGCCGTGTTTGTGTGTGTGTGTGTTTTTTTTTTTTTTTTATTGCAACGACGAATAAACGAACGCTTTGCGTCGAATTTGCTCGCGAATCGAGGAGCAACGATGATTTTTCATTCGCGTGGAAAGGCTTTGCTCGCCGTTTGCGAATTTCATTTGCAACGATGACAAACTCGACGAAAGCGAGCGGATTGAAAAAAAATTGTGCTTACGGAATAAATTTGTACGTGAAGAATTGTGAGCAAAAGGACGCTCAACTCTTTTGTTCCTTTAGATTATTTTAGGAAAATTATTTCGAATAAAATTTGATTCGAAGAAATTGCTCGAGATGTCATACGAATAAAAGATTCAGCTTAAGCAAAATCAGTGTAAGCAATAATAAAAAATAATATTATAATAATAATTAAAAATATAATAATAATAAAAAATAATATTATAATAATAATAATAAAAAATAGTATTATAATAATAATAATAAAAAATAATATTATAATAATAATATAAAGTATAATAGCAATAAAAAAACAATGAAAATAGCAACACACTTGTGCCAATTGCATCGTAAGTGCTCTAAAAAAAAAAGGAGAGAAAGACGAATAAACCTGTTTTGTCGAATTTGTTCGTGATTAACGAGCAATGATTTCATTCATTCACGTGGAAAGGTTATTCGTTGTTTACGAATTTCATTTGCAACGATGAAAGCAAACGGATTGAAAAAATTGTGCTAAAAGCAAATTTATTGAATAAATTTGTGAGAAAAGGACGCTCAACTCTTTTGTTTCTTCAGATTATTTCAGGAAGTATTTCGAATAAAATTTGATTCGAAGAAATTACTCGAGATATCATACGAATAAAAGATTCAGATTAAGCAAAACAGTTAAGCAATAATAAGAAATAATATTATAATAATAAAAAATAATATGATGATAATAATAAAAAAATAATAATGAAAAATAATATAATAATAATATTATAATTAATAATAAATAATATTATAATAATAATATAAAGTATAATAGTAATAAAAAATAATGAAAATAACAACACACTTGTGCCAATTGCATCGTAAATGCTCTAAAAAAGAGAGAGAGAGAGGGAAAGAGCACACGTTGCACGTGCGTAACACCATAAAATTATGCCACACGACGTGCAAAACTCAAACAGAGTGAGGCACAGAATTCTCTCTCCCGTGTCTACGTTTCTCTCGCTAAAAGCTAAAGGGAAAAAAACTTACTTGCAACTGTCAACAAAATTGTCTGCCTAAAGAAATGAAAACGACAAAACTCATTCAAACTTGAAATTCAGAATCAGATGGTGCGGGAGGATTCGTATAGGCCGATCGCGGAAGAAGTAAGTAACAAAAAGAAAGAAGAGAAAAAGAAAAAGAAAAAGAAAAAAGGAAATTTCACCTGTAACCTTAGACGCTGCGCGTGTATGGTGTCGCGGCTGGTTGCTGCGCCGTAGCTGCGCTGGGGGATGATTCGTGGCACGCTCAGGTTGCTCACAGGTTTCTCGAATACTTCGGCGACTTCGAAATGCATCGGCAGTAAGGACCTCCTCTGGTGATGCCCCGAGTGAAACGTCTGTCGACGCTTCGATTTGAACTTGGACGGTCTTGTACTGGAACGATGATACGAGCTGCGCCGCGACAGCGACACGGGAATCGTTCCATCTGCAAGATAACCGCGAGCGCCTCTTAGACTATTCCATACAATTTAATATTAATATTATTCTATTTTACAATTCTATAGAAATATTATTATTATATAAATATATTAAAAACATATATATTATTATTATTATATAAAATATATATATTATTATATAATATCATAATATATACAATATTATTCTAGATTATAATTTTATAGAATATAATATTATTATATAATATTAATTTTATAGAATATAATATTATTGTTCTACGTTATTAATTTTATAGAATAGAATATTGTTCTATATTATAATTTTATAGAATATAATATTATTCCATATTATAATTTCATAAAATATATTATTATTGTATATAATAATATTATAGAGTAGAATATTATTCTATATTATAATTTTATAGAATATAATATTATTCCATATTATAATTTCATAAAATATATTATAATTGTATATAATAATATTATAGAATATAGTATTATTCTATATTATAATTTTATAGAATATAATATTGTTCTATATTATAATTCTATAGAATATAATATTATTCTATATTATTAATTTTATAGAATATAATATTATTCTATATTATAATTTTATAAAATATAATATTGTTCTATATTATTAATTTTATAAAGTATAATATTATTCTATACTATAATTTTATAAAATATAATATTATTCTATACTATAATTTTATAGAATATAATATTGTTCTATATTATAATTTTATAGAATATAATATTATTCTATATTATAATTTCATAAAATATATCATTGTTCTATACTATTAATTTTACAAAATATAATATTATTATATTATTAGAATATTAGAATATTATATTATTAGAATATAATATTGTTCTATATTATTAATTTTATAGAACATAATATTATTCTATATTATAATTTTATAGAATATAATATTATTATATAATATTAATTTTATAGAATTCTATTGTACAAAATTCTGTATTCTATATATATAAATTATAGAATATATCTATATTCTATATTATTCTATATTATTCTTTATTCTTAATATTATTCTATAGATATTTTATATTTCTCCGTACGTTCTCCAACAAGCATGAGAAGTTGGACCCCATAAATCTAACAAATTTGTCAGAATAATCATTAAACTCTGAGAATGACATCTGTGACTGATTCTCTCATTTGCGACAACCGGTCATTGTTATATTGTTAAACCATAGAATTGAATTTATTTATACAGCCTCAATAAAGAACTGTATTTGAAGCTAATGCTCGAACGACATTTTAAAAAAGATATAAAATTATCCCAGAGAGTGTAACCACAAAATTACGTGACTTGCAAAACAACTTAGTTTAACTCTGTCTAAAAACAGGAAAGATTAGATTGATTAATTATTAATTTACATTGTTAAATTTAATCTAAAGTTAGAACGTGGAATATTCGACAGTGAACCGTACCGTCTGCGTTTCTCTCTCGTGGTGGATTGTAAATAAAATTCGCTGGCAAGGAACGAACTTTAGCGAGACCAGGTCTGCTAGCTGGGATCTTCTCGTTCGTCACCAAGATAGACTCGCGTTCTCTAACGTCGTCGTCCTCCTCCACGCCGCCACCGTCGTCGTCCCTCTTCCGTTTCACTATCTCCTCCTCTTCCTCTTCTTCCTCGACCTCTAGCAGCTCCTCCTGCTCCGCGGCCAATTCTCTCTCCAGCTGAGTTTCCATGTCAAGCTCGTCTTCCATCTTAAGAAAATTAATAAATATGAATTTTCGCCAGATTTCACTACAATAGATAATTTTATTAAAATGTTAAATACTTTCGATTGAAAATATTGAAAATATTATCATTAAAGAGGGAAGATAATATTGCAAAATAATATTACAAATACTATATATTGTCTACTATAATATATACTATATTATATAATATATAATATATATATATATTTTTTATATATTATATAATGTATGATACTATGATAATATTACAAACACTGTATATTGTCTACTATAATATATACTATATCATATAATATATATATGTAATATATTATATAATGTATAATACTATGATAATATTACAAACACTATATATTGTCTACTATAATATATACTATATCATATAATATATATATGTAATATATTGTGTAATGTATAATACTATGATAATATTACAAATACTATATATTGTCTACTATAATATATACTATAATATATAATATATAATATATATATATATTTAATACATTATATAATGTATGATACTATGATAATGTTACAAATACTATATATTATCTGTAAAAATGTAAAAATCCTCAGTCTGATGAAACAAAATTTATAAAATTTTCAGAGAATTTTTCTACATTTCTCACAGTCACGTGTATTTGTTCTACTTGGAATTGAAATGATTCTGTACCTGTTTGTGGCTTTCCTCGAGGTGTTTCATGAGCACGGCGACGACGACGTTTACGAGAACGAATTGCGCCATCAGCACGAAAATTACAAAAAATATCGGGGCTATGATGGTGCTCACGCAACAATTCTTCACACAGTCGGCCGCTTCGTCGCAGTCGTCCCTCAGAGTGTCCTTCATGATGCCGTTCCAATTGTCGCCGGTGGCTACTCGAAAAAGCGTGAGAAACGCCATTCCGAAATTACTGAAGTGGGCGTGCTCCCCGAGACCTTGGCAAGGCATTTCGTCGCTACATTCTGCAATAGTTAACAAACACCGTAGAGTTAAAATAGTATCAACTAGTAATACTCTTGCGAAGAACGAATAAAGTATTCCTGGTATCAACGTTAATATTAATTTTCATCGTTTATTCATCGTATTATATATATATATATATACATATATCCCTTTTATCATCGTTTCTTATAGTTAACGATAATCCACTAAATGCTCTTGCAAATGAATGAATAAAATACTCCTGGTACTAATATTAATATTAATATTAACATACTTATTAATATGCTTAGTATTAATATTAATATTAATATTAATATACTTGTTAATATACTTAGTAATAATATTAGTATTAATACTAATATCATTAATATTAATATTAATGTTAATACTAATATCATTAATATTAATATTAGTATTTATACTAATATCATTAATATTAATATTAGTATTAGTATTAATACTTATTAATATGCTTAGTATTAATATTAATATTATTATGCTTAATACTAATATTAATATACTTATGCTTAGTATTAATACTAATGTTAATACTAATATACTTATTAATATGCTTAGTATTAATATTAATGTTAATATTAATATACTTATTAATATGCCTAGTATTAATATTAATATTAATATACTTGTTAATATACTAGTATTAATATTACTATATTTATTAATATAATAGTATTAATATTAATATTAATATACTAGGAATATTTTATTCGTTCGTTTTCAAGAATATTTAGTGCAATTATTATCAACTATAAAAAAATGATGATAAAAGGGATGTACAATATAATAAATAAATGACGAATATAAATGACACAACGTGGGCAGAAAGTTCAATAGAACCGGAAAGGACAAGTATAAAATTTACTCGTTCGAAGTTCCGCTTTTGAGAATGTTAACTGATCGATCGATTATAATTAAAACGCGTACCTAAACGGCCGAACAGCTCTACGCCGAGGGCTGCGAAGATGAAAAAGAGCAGAAAAAATAGTAGTCCCAGGTTCCCGACCTGCGGTAACGCCTGCATTACCGTGTCCAACAGGGCTCGTATCCCTTTCGCCATTTTCAACAGCTTCAGGACTGTGGGAAAAATAATTTCATTCATCGTTACTCTTCTCTCTTTCTTTCTCTTTTTCTTCGTTAAACTCACCTCTAGCGATTCGCAGAACTCTCATTACCCGAATTATCGTAGGATTGATCGGAATGATCTTCGACTCGACCTCTTCGAGGACTATACCAACCACCGACAGTATCACGATCCCGACGTCTAACTGATTCCATCTGCAAATCGGGATATTACGTTTCGTGCATCGACAAACGTATATGCGCAAATACAACAATTGTAGTAAATAACAGTGACGATGTTTAATAACGATATAATAAATAATAATAATAATGATAATATCTAACTAAATAAAATAATATAATAATAATAATAATAATAATGGTAATACTAAATAAAATATTAATACAATAATAATAATAATCTAACTAAATAGTAATAAATAATAACTGATCTAAACTCAAATATTCTAACTGATCTGAACTCAAATATTCTAACATTCGAACATTTTAACGATTATGACAAACTGAAGCTTTCTAAGAGAATAGAAAAAGCGAAACGAAATTTGCCAAAATTAGGAAAAACTAAATATTTACCAAATGCAACAATTGCAATAAATAATAATAATAATTTGCAATTTATAAATACCCTTGATAAAAGTATACACTTTTATTTACTTATATTTTAATAAAAAATAAATAATTTATTTTATTTTATTCTATTCTATTTTATTCTATTTTAATCTATTCTGTTTTATTTTATTTTATTTTATTTTATTCTATTCTATTTTATTCCATTTTATTTTTTTTTTATTTCATTTTATTTTATTTTATTTTATTTTACTTTATTTTATTTTATTTTACTTTATTTTATTTTATTTTACTTTATTTTATTTTATTTTATTTTATTTTATTTTATTTTATTTTATTTTATTTTATTTTATTTCATTTTATTTTAATTTATTTCATTGTATTATTCATTGTATTATTATTATTATATTTGTATTATTATTATTATTATTATTATATACGTACTTGTCCTTGAGGTAAAGATGTAGACCCAGGGCGAGAAGTTTCATGAAAGATTCGAGGATGAAGACCGCGGTGAAGAAATAATTGAATATCTTTAGGGCGTAGGTCAGCGCCTTTGGCATCATGTAAAACTCCATTGCCATGGTGACAACATTCAGGCCGATTACCGCAGCGATTGCTAGGTCGAAATACTTGGACGTCACAACGTTGTGAACGAACAGCCTGGATTTCGAGTAGTTTGTATAGTAGGGCGGCTCGTGCATCTCTGCAAATTTCGGTATTTTTTTTTATTTTTTACTTTAATTATTTTACAAATAATTATCGAGCAAATTTAATTTCCATTTCTCTTTCTCTTACTTCGTCGTTTCTTCTCCATTTGGAGGGCTCGTTTCGCAGCTCGTCTCACGCGTTCCTCCTTCTCCTGTTCCTCGCGACACCTGTGAAAATTTTCCACCACAACCCCCACGAACATGTTCAGGACGAAGAAGCCCACCAGCAGAATGAATGCTATGAAGTAGAGCAGCCGCCACTCCGAGTAATTTTCGATCGGCTGAAACAGACGTCAGCGGGGAATAATTCAAACGTTGATCCATCAGATGCTATGAAATCCTAATTATATATTATATAAAATTCTAATTATATAAATTATAATAAAATTCTAATTATATAAATTATAATAAAATCCTAATTATATAAACTATAATAAAATTTCGAATTATATAAGTTATAATAAAATTCTAATTATATAAATTGTAATAAAATCCTAATTATATATAAACTATGATAAAATTTCTAATTATATAAGTTATACTAAAATTCCCAATTATATAAGTTATAATAAAATTCTAATTATATAAATTATAGTAAAATTCTAATTATATACATTATAATAAAATCCTAATTATATAAACTATGATAAAATTTCTAATTATATAAATTATAATAAAATTCTAATTATATAAGTTATACTAAAATTCCCAATTATATAAGTTATAATAAAATTCTAATTATATAAATTATAGTAAAATTCTAATTATATACATTATAATAAAATTCTAATTATATAAACTATAATAAAATTTCTAATTATATAAATTATAATAAAATTCTAATTACATAAATTATAATAAAATCCTGATTATATAAACTATAATAAAATTTCTATAAATTATATAAATTATAATAAAATTCTAATTATATAAATTGTAATAAAATCCTAATTATATAAACTATGATAAAATTTCTAATTACATAAATTATAATAAAATCCTAATTATATAAACTATAATAAAGTTTCTAAGTATATAAATTATAATAAAATTCTAATTATACAAATTGTAATAAAATCCTAATTATATAAACTATGATAAAATTTCTAATTATATAAATTATAATAAAATTTTAATTATATAAATTATAATAAAAATTATAATTACAATTATTATAATAATTGCATAAAAATATATTAAATTATAATAATTGCATAAAAGTTATAATTATATAAATTACAAAATTCTAATTATATAAACAAATTATCTCAATATTATATAAACTGTCGCATGGAATCTGAAATTATACAGAAATAATACTGATTTTTGAATTACTTCATATTTTTATATACATTTATACGTTCACGTTTTGCAAGTTTCGCTCGTCGAGAATTTTCTTGTCCCGAGATTGCAATAATTTCTCAATTTCAAGTATATTCAAGTATAACCCGTGGCGAAACAAATAATAAATTAAGTACTTCTCAATCATTTCTATCCAGCGACAAAGTAAAAGGAAGCGAATCATTGTGTACGATTCAGTCACTCGTTACGGTCCGCGGTTGCCAGGCGCAAGTGGCTTGAAGGGAGGAATATTTTGCAAACAGGCCTACTTGTAAGCGAAAGCGGCGGAATGTAACACGGAAATAAAATTGGCGAGCGTGTTACCTGTTGATCGACGCCCACAGCGTCGAGCCCCGTGTACATGATGTTCACCCATCCGTCTCTCGACGACAACACGAACAGCGACATCAGCGCTTTGCCGAGATCGTCGAAATTGTACTTCCTGTTCAGCCATACGTTCCGTTTGTCCTCCAGGCAGTCCGTCTTATTGCGCACGTTTTTAATATCAGGCCCCTCGCAATAATAAAAGGCACCCTTGAAGAGCTGCACGCCCAAGATACCGAAGATTACGAAAAAAGTACAGCATATCAAAACGATGTTGCCGATAGGTCGTAAAGAGGATAACAATGTCTGAACAACCAGCTTCAAACCAGGAGCTCGGTTAATAACTCGCAACGGTCTTAGCGACCTTAAAAGTCTAAAAACCTGCAACCACGTGAATCAAGTGTTTTGATAAATGCGAGATGCGTGATGCGTGATGATCAAAATGTGTGATCGACCCCTTGCCTTGTTATTCCTGCAATTTTTCTTTGAAAAGAAAAAAAAATATAATAAAGCCACGTGCGAGTTGCCACCCACTTTTAATTTTCAGATTGGAGAGCTTGAGATTCGAGTTCGAGTTGTTTTTTTTTGTTTTCGTTTTAAATTCTCGAGACTTCGAGGCAAGAGGTCGAGCATATAAAATATATGAAATTGTAATTTGAAATAACATCGTTTTTTTATTTCTTCGTTGTAATTCTAACGTCACTAGGCAAAAGTATTCGCGAGCCGAAATTGAAGTTGCATTTTAAATATCTTGTCGCCAAATGTATTTATACTACGTGTGTACAATACTAAATTAAGCGCTTCTTGACGCCATAGGATGAACAATGTATAACATCATTATTTTTGAGTCTTTTAATATTAAAGTAATTTATAATATATTCATATAATATAATATATTCAAGTAAATAAAATAAAATATTTGATATATTTTTACATAATAAAATATTTATTAAAGTAATTTATAATTTAAAGTGAATAAAATAAAATATTTTACATATTTTTATGTTAAAAAATATTTATATTAAAGTAATTTAATAAAGTAAAATATTTATATTAAATTAAAGTAATTTATATTAAAATAAATAAAATAAAATATTTTATATACTTTTACATAGTAAAATATTTATATTAAATTAAAGTAATTTATATTAAAATGAATAAAATAAAATATTTTATATATTTTTACATAGTAAAATATTTATTAAAGTAATTTATATTAAAATAAATGAAATAAAATATTTCACATATTTTTACACAATAAAATATTTATTAAAGCAATTTAATATTAAAATAATTCATCAATCTTTTAATAAACACAGAATTTATAAAATAAACCTCGTTCTGCATTCTAATTAATTCTACATTAATACACAACTTGAAATGAAACTTTCAAACTTTTTATATGTGCTTCGTTTGAAAGAAGAACACATCCAAAATATAGAGAGAAATTTTCATGTATAATTTATGGTTTCACAATGTCTGCTGCATTCCTGCCCAAGAATTTATATACACTGTATGCTGTGTTATTAGATGCGGGTTTATTTACATATTTAATTATCGATTGTTGTTACACCTTGGCGACAAGTAACGTCTCCGACACGTCATTGTGAATTTTAATATAGGAAAAAGGAATGACGTAGCAGAGACGTCAGTTAAGGATTGATTAATTACTGAATTTTGTAAGAATATCATAAATTGTTCTTCATCTTCGTCACCGTGTGAACGAAATGAAATCAAATGTGAAACATGAAATATGGAACGTGAAAGATTACTTTCAATTGAATCGTACATCAAAGTATCGAAAGTAGAATTAGTTGAATACAATTTGCATATACATGTGTGACAATGTAAATCGATAAACCAATAGAACCAAGATTTACTATTGAAATACGTTTGAAAAATGATTATTTGAATAACATATCATCTTCACATTTTTGACTGTCGAGCAAAATAATTTTTCCCTTTTTTCAGTTTCCACAAATAACTTCTGTTACTCTATTGTGTAAAACATTATCGTACAAAGCGTCGTCATATGCTAGAATGATTTATTACTTTACTTTATTTCAATGAATTAATTTAACCAAAAGATTGGACAAATACTGTTATACTATTTTAAAGTAAAAGCAACTAATTTAGCTAATTAAAATAAAATATTTTAAAATCAGAATATTTTTAAAATAAAAGTAATTAATTTGACCAAATTTAACCAAAAGATTGAACTAACATTACTATATTATTTTAAAACAAAACTAACAATCAGTTTCACCAAATTTAACCAAAAGATTGGACTAATACCATTCTACTATTTTAAAACAAAAGTAGCAAATTAATGGAAATGATTTATCATTTCAAATTTGTTTTTCCTATCGCTGCCGCGAATAAAATTTTGAATAAAATATCATTTCTCAGTCGTATTTTACCTTTCACGCAGTATCTGCAAGCGAAAGAAACACAGAAAACAAGCCACATTATGATCACATTAAGAAGAAAGGAACGTACCCTCAGTATTCCAAATATCCTTGGACTACTCGACGACAATAGGGACATTGACAAGTCGATTATGGAAATGATCACAAGAACTCCGTCCATAACGTTCCAGCCTGAAGTAAAATAAGCGTCGGAGCCGTACAGCATACCAGATGCAACAACCTGCGGGCAAATTATAATTGGATTCTCACAGATGATCAGACTTCTTATTTTTCTTTTTTTTTTTTCTTTTTTTTTTTGATTACCTTGATGAACATTTCAACAGCAAACACCGCGGTAAAAATGTAATTCGCAGTGGATAGAAAAAGTCTTTCTCCACTGTCCGGTGGTATGTTTGGCCGTTCCATTGCCAGTGTAATACAATTGAGACCGATGAAAAAGAGAACCACGTTATCGAACCATTTCTGATCGACTAACCATCGGCATAAAACGCGGAATCTGAAAGACGTGAACGCGTCTCCGCTGTACAATGGGCGGGCAATTAAAATTGCTCGTTATCAAATTGAATAAACGTTCAATTGGACAACATGTTTTTGGGTTTGGAGATATCGAAAGGACGTCGGGCAGTCGGATTTTCATGGAATGAAGGGGAGTATATATATTGGAAATCATGTTAACCCTCGGACGGTGGATGCTTCGGTGAACGCAGACTCGATTTCTCAGACAGGTTTGCCGAAGGGAGCTGATTCCCTTCTCGATAACTGCTTGCGCACACAGCTGCAGTATTATTAATAATTTGAAAAATACATAAAACGTGATGTAAGATACATTTATATAATTTAAACTTAATAATTCAATAAAGCACAATGAATTTGAATAATTTGAGAATGTGCAAACTGCAATTTGAGCAATTTGCAATAAAATACAAAATACCGAAAATAAAAACAAGTGATACTGTAGCTAAAATTATGACATTATGCTATATAATTGAATAATATAATATATATTATATATAATATTAAATAAAATACAAAATATTGAAAATAAAAACAACTGATATTGTAAGTAAAATTATGTAACATATAATATAATAATAATATAATATAATATAATATTATATAAAATAGAAAATATTGAAAATAAAAACAACTGATATTGTAACTAAAATTATGTAATATATAATATAATAATAATATAATATAATATAATATAATATTATATAAAATATTGAAAACATTGAAAATAAAAACAACTGATATTGTAATTAAAATCATATAATATATAATATAATATAATATTATAAATAATAAATATTATATAATATTATATAATGTTATATAAACTACAAAATATCAAAAATAAAAGCAACTGATACTGTAACTAAAATTATAAAATATATAATATTATATAATATAATTATATAATATTTTATTATATAATATTATATAAAAAACAAAATATCGAAAATAAAAATAATTGATGACTGCAGCTAAAATTATATAATATTATGTTATAATATTATATAATATAATATATATTATATATAATATTATATGAAATACAAAATATTGAAAATGAAAACAACTGATACTGTAACTAAAATCATATAATATATAATATAATATTACAAATAACATATATTATATTATATAATTATATAGTACATTATATTATATTATATTATATAATTATATAAAGTACAAAATATCGAAAATAAAAACAACTGATACTGTAACTAAAATTATAAAATATATATGATATTGTATAAGAAACAAAATATCGAAAATAAAAACAACTGATATTACAACTGAAATTACATAAAATTATATAACATATAATATAATAATATATTATGATGTAATATATCTATATTACAATTAACATACAATATATTATATATATAATTTATAATATTCCAGTAAAATGAATTTAATAATAAAACCGAAACAGCTGAAGGAGCTGATACTATAATTTGAAATGAGAATTGAAAAGGCAACAAAAATTACACCCAGCATTCACCGATCGGGGGATCGAGCAATTCAACTACATTTTTAGATAATGATTAAAATATTATACACACGCGCACACACACACACACACACACACACACACGTATACATGAGTTATCTAGAGTTTCTATTATTGGATACGTGAAATTTCATAGACACACAGAAACATACCTGTTATTCAGTGGAAAAAGGTAAAGCGAGTAATCGTCACGTTCCTTAAGGCATCCTTTAGGTTCAAAAAACATGAATATTTTTTTAATTCTCTCGATGCTGCTTGCACTACCATGGCCATTCAAGGGTGGCGTCTGTTCGTCTGTACGGGGATTGTCATCGTCCGGATCGGGAAGTCGTTTAATTCTGGGCAGTGGACCAGTCTCCATCGACAAGTTATTGATTGTACGTGCCGCTGAGCATTGCATAGGCATCTCGTCTAGGGGCAAGGTTTTCCTCGTCGGCGACTGAACGTTCTCGTTCCCGCGTAACGAGTTCCTTCGCGAAAGATCGCTAATCCATCGCATCTTTAAAACACATCGGCAAACACCCCGTTAACGTGCCTTCTAACTTGTCATTTCATAATTTACCTTCTACGATCGCAATTTTTTATTGATCAGTGGCAATTTCTTTAGGGAGAAAAAGGAGAAACAGAACGTGAAATGAGTTTTGCGGAAAGAGTGGTGAAAAAAGTATATGCTAACAAGTTCGTCCTTTTTTTCCCCTTTTTTTCTGAGAAACTATAACTTTTTTGAAATTCCGAGCACTTGGACATTTAATATAACACAAATTTTTTAATCTATGGCACACACCACTCGATAAACTTGTCCAAGCCTCGTCGACTACAAATGTTTTCATCTATTATAATATAATGATAGATGAAAATATTATAAATATAATACTATAATATATACTATAATATTATAAATGGAATACTATAATGTATACTATAATATCATAAATATAATACTATAATATATACTATAATACTTTAATATTATAAATATTATTCTAATATATCATAATATGATAAATATAATACTCTAATATATACTATATATACTATAATATTATAAATATTATTCTAATATATTGTAATATTATAAATATAATACTATAATATATACTATAATACTATAATATTATAAATATAATTCTAATATGTTATAATTTTATAAATATAGTACTATAATATATACTATAATACTATAATATTATAAATATAATTCTAATATATTATATTATAAATATAATACTATAATATATACTATAATACTATAATATTATAAATATATAATATAACAAAATAATATTATAAAATATACTATAATGTAATAATGTTATAATACTATAGTATTATAAATATATAATATAACAAAATAATATTATAAAATATACTATATTGTAATAATGTTATAATACTATAATATTATAAATTCTACTTAATATACTTATTTTAATTATATTCGTATCTCAATATAATTTCAAATTAATCGCGTCGTAAAATAGTCGAAAGTACATATCTGTCAATTTCGAGATCTCTCAATAACCAATCTTCGTGATTTAATCTGCAATTTTTAATAACGAAACCAACGTACAGATTGTTTGAATTCCCGAAGCATTCGATTCCCTATAGAGTCGATATGAGAATACGATCAGAAAGAAGAGAGGAAGAATTCGCGTTTGAGAATATTTTTGGCAAGACCCACCTGATTAGGCGTTGCTGTGTAACGTCGTATAGAGGAGCTACGGCTCCCGATGGAATTATTAGGGCTGAGGCTACGATTATTGCTTGCTAGGACGGTCGTTCGATTATTCGGCGTGTCGCTTTGCGTGTCGTTTCTTATCGAACCGTGTAAATAGCCGCCGTTGAAGCTGAAAGGTAATTTTACGAGAATTACCACAGTAAAGGGGAAACTGGAGCATAAACACGATCGTCTGTTCGTTTCGTCGCGAGCAACACGTTTCAAATACGTGTATTAAACCGCCAATTTGCATTGTCTGCATATTTTGCTTTGAGAACGTCCGCCGGCATAATAATTCGACGAGAAAACAGTATTAAGTAGTTGACTATGCAGTGGATATTGTGTTTGGTCATGTGCACAAATAAATTATGCCTCGTTGCTGCATGAATATCGAGTTATTTAAGATAGTACCTATACGTAAGCAGTGAGACGAAACTTTATTCATTTGCTATGTGTAATATAACTCGATATACTTGATAATATTTCTTTAAATTTATATTAATTTATATTAATAATATTTTTTATATATTAAATATTTATATTAAAATATATAATATATGCATATTTTATATATTTATATTAATTTATATTATAACATATTTTAATTTTTATTAATTTATATTAATATTATTTTTTATATATTATATATTTATATTAAAATATATAACATATACATATTTTATATATTTATATTAATTTATATTAATAATATTTTATTCGAATGTCAATTTTTTTCTAGTTGCCCATTTTTTCACTTCCACTTTCTGTTTTAAATTATGTTCACTTTACTAATTACCCATTCAATACAGTAGTTTTGGTAGCTTTGAAGAAATATAATCTTGCCAAATAAAGTTTTAATAATCTTTGAATACTTGAAGTCAGTAAATTCTCAGTTACCCTGAAGATATGAAACAACATTACGCAACGTTGAGTCGCATGCCAGAGTTGTTAACGGACGTGAAATATTTATACCAGGTAACTGCAATTAGCTTTAACAGAGATTAATGTTTACTTTCTGCACAGTGATTAAAAACTGATAAACGGCGATATTTTTAGAAAGTTAACGCGAGCCAATAAACTACTTGCAATCACTTACTAACTCTAGACAAAACTCGCACGAATTATTAAAACTCGGAGCTAGAACGCGAGCCAATAAACTACTTGCAATCACTTACTAACTTCCTTCTCGGAGAAATACGTAAATTTAACTAAATTTCACTAAATTTTAATAGATATTATATATTTAAATACTTATTTATTTATTTAAATATATTATATATTATACATATAATAGATATTATATTTAAATATTTATTATATATTTATTATATTTTAAATATAATGTATTATATTTTATTTTATTTTAAATATATTATATTATATTATATTATATTATATTATATTATATTATATTATATTATATTATATTATATTATATCATATCATATCATATCATATCATATCATATCATATCATATCATATCATATCATATCATATTATATTATATTATATTATATTATATTATATTATATTATATTATATTATATTATATTATACTTTATTTTATTTTATTTTATTTTCAATATAATATTTATTATATTTAATATTTTCAATATATTATTTATTATATTTTATATTATATTTTTATTATAAATATATTATTTATTATGTTTTAAAAGTAAACGTTATTTTATAAATACCTTGCAACCTATACTATCAGATTTTACTGCAAATACAATCACCATAAAGCGCACGAGACAAAAAGTGTTTCATACACAGTACACTTATGTAAGATATTCATAAAAATTTCCGAATATAAATGTCCGGTTATTCTGGCGATCGTTTTATTACCAACGCTGTGCTTTTATTGCAAAAACTTACGTTGGATTGGAACCAAGTAGAGTGCTCCGACCGTTATTTAGGACAGTGGCTCTACCAGGGGGATCGTCTTCCGTTTGCGACCAGCGTTTCCTCCTCAGCGATGGCCGCGATAATTTCCACGAGTAACCCCTTTGTATCCTTGGTGGACTGTAGCGAGGGAAATGATCGTACAATTCGATTTCGCTCTTGTTTGCAATTTACTTGGGAAATAAACAAGTGACGAATAAGAGGCATCTACCTTGAACTCGATGACTCTCTCGTCGATGGATTAACGACAGCTGTGACGAGGCTTATTCGTCGAGGGAACTGGCCGGCAATGAGATTTTTAGTTGGTATTCTGTTTGAAACGTCTGGTAGCTTCAACAGGCCGGAAGGAATACTACACTGGCTCTGCGAAACGATATTCTTACAATTACACATAAATCTTTTTTGGGGGAGGGGGGGCATGTCAATGAGAAGAACGTATTTTGAAAATATATTTTGCATAATTTTTCGGAGCTACGAAACTTTAATATTTTAATTGTTGATCATTTGTTGAGACAGATAAGTAATCGTGGCATCGTTGGAATTTTAATTTTATATTGTCTGCCTCTACTTTCACAGTATCGAGTTCATTTTTGCCAAATTATATTTGGAGATATAAATTCCAAGTATTATAATTCAAATTATCTATTATAATTATTTTATTAAAGTAGAAAATTTTAAAAAATATGAAATTTGGAAATATAATTCAAATATTATAATCCAAACTATAATTATTTTACTAAATATAAAATTTGAAAATATAAATTCCAAATATTAAAATCCAGATTATATATTATAATTATAAATACCAAATATTATAATCCAAACTGTATATTATAATTATTTTATTAAATATAAAATTTGGAAATATAAATTTCAAATATTATAAAATTTCAAATATATAATCCAAATTATATATTAGAATTATTTTATTAAATATACAATTTAGAAGAACATAAAGTTTGAAAATATAAATTCCAAATATTAAAATCAAGATTATATATTATAATTATAAATTCCAAATATTATAATCCAAATTATATATTGGAATCCCCTCGTTAAAGTAATATTATACAGATACTCTTTCTGTCGAAAATTTGACAATTTCGAATATCTTTATAGCCAATATATATGTATATATATTATCCAAATCCAGGACACGTAAAATCCAAACCAAACAGTTGCACCACGACACTTTGAAACATCGTTCGAGTTACACCCTCCTCCCCTATAGCACCTTATCATATTATCATGCTAGTGTCGGTGCTGGAATTGCGAAGAAAATAGTAGAAAAAAATAGTGTACGTACGCCGGATCGATCAATTGACTCGATGGACAAGGCGGCGGTAGGATAAACAGCCCGACAATTTAAATCTCTGTAGCCGACGTCGAGGGTGGTGTTGGGTGAATCCTGAGGGGTGGCTGCCGTGTGGGTAATTATCGGTGGCTGTCCAGCTGCGCCCATCATCTTGTTCTCCTTTTGAATGTTGCACTTCGGCTCGTCCATCTGATGCCTCCACACGGTGTTCTGCTTCTCCCTGCTGTTGTTGTCTTTGTACTTGCGTAACTCCTCCGCGCTCTGCCACGAATTCTTTCGATCCTAAGTTCGAAACATTTGCCAACTTTGAGCAGAGGTCGTGTCGTAAGTTCCTTTTCAATCTTTTTTACTTTCTTGTTTTGTTTGTTTTTTTTTTTTAATTACACGTAATTTTTTTTTTTTAATTACACGGATTTGCAGCTTTTATAAATTGGACAATTTGTCCAGCCAGAAAAGGAATAACAGAGAGTCGCAGGGTGTCTCATTTTAATTGATGATCAAATTTATGTTTTTCTAAAAATGAGATCATGCGGCACGACGTTCTCTTTAGAAAGATACTAACTTGTGTATGTCGAGGAATTATCGTAAAATAAAGGCATTCGTGTCGAACGTTCGTTGTAACATCTTTCTGACGATTTCAAGTTTCAAAGTTCATATCAACGAGAATACTAATCGATAAAGCTTAGTTATCTCTCCATCGAGGGTTTAAAGCGAATGTTCAAAAGGAACATTTGTAGAGATCTGCAAGAAACAAAATGAAGAGCAAATTGGAAATCGAAGTGTAGCGAAAGCGAGAGGCAACGTGAGAGCTGGAGTGAAAAATGAAGTAAGAGGAGAATAGGGGCAACCTCGTTACAGAGATAAAACGAGGGGCAAGACCTTGCTGGTGAACAAACGACCAAAGTACAAAAACGACTGAAATATGAAATATCGTCGACAAAAATTGGAATGTTGTCGAAACATTTTTGACATGGTCCCAATTCCGTCGATCTTGTATCTACAAATTGTTACTCTTCCAAATAACTGTGCCTCTGTCAAAAGCAACGATAACAGACGATTTCTCTGAGAAGAGCTTCTGAGACTGAACAATTAAAATGTTTTTCTTTTTTTTTTTTTCTTTCATAGATACACGCCTTATAATATATTATATTTTATTTATTATTATTATATTTAATTATGTAAATTATGTAGATTCAATTTGTATTATAGTATTTATTTTAATTGTTATCATATTTAATTATGTAAATTATGTGGATTTAATTTGTGTTATATTATATTATATTTATTATTACATTTGATTATGTAAATTATGTAGATTTAATTTGTATTATAGTATTTATTTTAATTATTATATTTAATTATGTAAATTATGTAGATTTAATTTGTATTATAGTATTTATTTTAATTGTTATTATATTTAATTATGTAAATTATGTAGATTCAATTTGTATTGTAGTATTTATTTTAATTATTATTATATTTGATTATATAAATTATGTAGATTTAATTTGTATTATATTATTTATTTTAATTATTGTTATATTTGATTATGTAAATTATGTAGATTTAATTTGTATTATATTATTTATTTTAATTATTGTTATATTTAATTACGTAAATTACGTAGATTTAATTTGTATTATTTATTTTAATTGTTATTATATTTAATTATGTAAATTATGTAGATTTAATTTATATTATAGTATTTATTTTAATTATTATTATATTTAACTATGTAAATTATGTAGATTCAATTTGTGTTACATTATTTCTTTTAATTATTATTATATTTATTTATGTAAATTATGTAGATTTAATTTGTGTTAAATTATATTTTAATTGTTATTATATTTAATTATGTAAATTATGTAGATTTAATTTGTATTATATTATATTTTAATTATTATTATTATATTATATTTTAATTTGATTAATGGTATCCCTGTCCACCGATCAATAAATAAACCTCTCTTGATAGATTGCTTTTTACTCTCTTTCTCTTTCTCTCTCTCTCTCTCTCTCTCTCTCCCCCTCTCTTCTTCGAGCAAATTGCTTCTCGCAGAGAATGTTTCGAAAGTGTTGGTGTACAGAGCTGAATGGGGGATGATCGATAAAGCTCCTAAAAAGATGCAAGAAACTCGTGACGAACCTTCTGCAAGTTCTGCAAGTGTACACTGTCTGTCCACTTCGTTGTTATTTTCGCGTGATTAATGTCTCGGAAGAATACGCGAGATGATTGATACAAGACCTCGCCTACGTATAACTTCGGTAGCGGTTTGTACATTGTGAGTCTGTTGTGACTCGTTGTTTGGCAAATATCCCTTGTCCAAGGATTCGGGGGCAAAGAGAACTATGGAGCTTAGCCTAAAGGCCAAGGTTGCGTTCGATTCGATTATTCTCTTTGCAAGTCGTTTTGTTGGTTTTGAAACCAAAGTGAGGGAAGACTTCGAAGATTTTGCTTAACATTTCCCTCCATTCTTATCTCATAGAAATCGAACTGTTTGTAACAAATTACCTTCGTACATCAATTTTATTTAAGAGTCTCTTCGTTGTTATTTTTTTTTTATAGAAACACAAATCATCTTGTTCCCGACAGATGGACCAGTGGATTTTTATGCATATTTGTTATTTTGGGGAACGAAGAAACATCCAAAACATAAAAGGACCTGTTATTACAATATTTAACTCTTCGCAGAAATGAACCTCTCCGACCTTTAATCTCCTCAATTAATTAAAATAATAAATGTACAATAATTGTAATGATAACTGACGAACGTTATTGCTATATGAACCATTACTACTACAATTATAATTGGACACGCAATGATAAATATAATTAAATATTATTTTCAACGTTGTTGCAATTAAATAAAATAAATATATTAATTTAATTTCATTAAACAATTAAATATTCTGATTAATTTAATTTAAAGTAAATATAATAATTAATTCTAAAATTTAAATTAAATATAATGCTTAGTTTATATAATATATTAATTTAATTTAAATTAAATATACTAATTAATATAAATATAATATAATAATTAATAATATATATAAAATTATATATACATATATAAAATAATATTATAATTAATTTAATTTAAATTAAATATAATAATTAATTTAATTTAAATTAAATATAACAAGTAATTTAATTAAAAATTAAATTAATTAGTATATCTACTTTAGATTAAATACAATATTTAAATTCACATTAACTGTCTCAATTAATTTGAATATAACTGCGACAAATTAAATTATCGCGATCGTCTTACCTGCGTGTAAGTGTCGCTGTCAGTGATCGAATGTGATCTCGATATTCTCGATGAACCGTCGTCGCTGCCCATCCCAGCCTCTTTCGCGGCGAGCCTCGCCATTTCTCTCTGTTCGCGTTCCCTCCTCTCGTTCCTCTGGAAAAATTTTCATCGATATTTTCGCAGACAACGAGCAATCGAACGAACCAGCCGAAACCATCAGATTCATATTGATGGCCCGTCGCTGTTGGTTACAGAACACTTGAGAATTTCCATTCGCTTCGCCGTAACTGAATATCAATCGAAACGAGCATTGATATTAATTGCCAACCGTTTAACAACCGATTCGATAAGGGGAATTAGTTTAAGCCCGGCCAGAGAGAGTTAATGACGATTCTTTTTTCATCGTTGAAATTCAAAAGGAACTTGAGAGGTTTGAATGGTTTAACAATCGTTCGTTATGAATCGTATCAATGTGTTTGTTAGATGTAAAAGTATAATATATTTATACGTGTATAAAATGTGACTTTGATCTTGGGTAGATTTCTCGACGTATCGTCCGTTTAATTGAAGCATGATTATTTTATTAATTGAGTTTTCAAATTTATTAAATATAATTAGTTTGAAAATAATTCAACGTAAATTTACTTTTAAATTATTATTAAATTATTTATTCTGCGTGATTCAATTTGATAATAATATATTTACTTTTTCCAACAGGGAAATACTGAAAACAAAATTACGAGAATTATCAAGTTGAAAATGTTACGAATTTTATGTTACAGTGTTTTTCATTTGCAGTTTTAACCACTTGACAGATTACGGACCGTAACGAGTGACCAAAACCGTACACAATAATTCGCCGCTTTCTTCCTCTATATTATTTTCTTCTTCCTCTATATTATTTTGTTTTAAATGTACTTAAAACTGAGGAAATACTGCAATTTTGGGACAAAAAATTCACGACGTGCGTGGCGCAAGAAGTTGGATTTCCTCCGAACATTAAATGCACGTCTCCAGAAATTCTTCTAAATATAAACGTACAAGTCAGGGGACATAATTGAACAAATGACGATGGCAAATTGCCGATAATTTAGGCTGCGTAGCAATTTCTCTTAAAAAAAAAAAAAAAAAAAAAAATGCTACAGGAAAATAAAGATACTTTCACTCTCGAAAATTGTAAGAAATTAGAAAACTATATTTTCCAATAAACTAGATCCAACGTGATTCAAGACTGAAGTCTCCTCTTTGTAACAACCCCCATAAAATTTGACGTATGATTATTTCTCAACGTCCAGTGTACGTAATTTGAACGTGAAATATAAAAAAAAATTTCCTACTCTTCAACGTGACAACTGATAATACCTAACAAGACCTAATAAAAAATCTAGCAAAATTCGACGCACAAGAGAAAAGAAACAGAAAAGTAATTTGTAACCAACGAATATCGTAAATAAATTGCAGTCGGCCAGCAATTTCAATGAAACTGATAATTAACGTACCTCCGAGGAGAATCCTTCGACGAGAATGGCGACCAGCAGATTGAAGAGGACATAATTCCCGAAGGTCATCAGCGCGACGAAATAAAGGGCTGCCCAGTGAGACGTTTTCTGCATGCCGTTGAACAATACGACGTTCCAATCTTCCTGGGTCAGGATCTACGTGAAAAAGGAAGAGGCAAAGATTTTCCGTTAAATGTACCTGGAATTGCTTGTTCTGTACATCAGACAGACAGAGAACCAAGTAAAAGGAGAAACAAATAAATAAATAAATAAATAAATAAATAAATAAAAGGAGAAGAATATTTCTGAATTCACGACAAAACGAAAAATTGAAAAGCTAGAATAAAATTGTTCTGTCCTGTTGAGTCTGCTTTTAATAGTAATAGTAATATTTACCGTTTTTAATAGTAACAGTAATATTTACCGTTTTTAATAATAATGGTAATATTTACTGTTTTTAATAATAATAGTAACATTTACTGCTTTTAATAATAAAAATAATAATATTTACTGTTTTTAATAATAATGATACTAATATTTACTGCTTTTAATAATAATAATATTTACTGTTTTTTAACAATAATAGTAACATTTACTGTCTTTAATAATAATAGTAACATTTACCATTTTAATAATATTTACAGTTTTTAATAATAATAGTTTAACATTTACTGCTTTTAATAGTAATAACAATATTTACTGCTTTTGATAATAATAATACTAATATTTACTGTTTTTAATAATAATAATAATATTTACTGCTTTTAATAATAATAATAATATTTACTGCTTTTAATAATAATATCTACTGTTTTTAATAATAATAGTAACATTTACTATTTTAATAATAATAATAATAATATTTACTGCTTTTAATAATAATATTTACAGTTTTTGATAATAATAGTAACATTTACTATTTTTAATAATAACAATAATATTTACTGCCTTTAGTAATAATAATATTTACTGCTTTTAATAGTAATAATATTAATACTAATATATTTTAATAATAATAATACTAATATTTACTGCTTTTAATAATAATAACAACATTTACTGTTTTTAATAATAATAATAATATTTACCGTTTTTAATAATAATACAAATATTTACTGCTTTTAATAATAATACTAATATTTACTGCTTTTAATAATAATAATACTAATATTTACTGCTTTTAATAATAATAATACTAATAATTACTGTTTTTAACAATAATAACATATACGATTGTGATTTGAACAAGTCAGTTTGTCTACGCAACCGTGTCAAGTTGAAGGGAACGAAAAGAAAAGAAGAAAAAAAAAAGAGAGAACGAAGAAGACAGAGGCGAAAGATAGTGATTACAGTAAAAATCGTTTGTCGCCTGGTATTCTTAGTCTACGGTATATAATATATAATTTATATAATATATATATATAGTTACTTGCGCCCACTTGATCGCGAATTTCTCTCTCGCGTTCAACGCGCTCTCCGTTCGTTCAAAGGCATATTTTTAGTCTTATTTTTGCCCGCGTTGCAACCAGCATGACAACGTTGTGCGGTTGTTTATTTATTGAAAAAAAAAAAAAAAAAAAAGAAGAAGACGAAGAAGAGGAAGGGCAAGATAACGATCACGCGACAGAGTGACACCGGCGGAGCCCGTGTAATCGATTAAGCTCCTCTCGGTCCGGCAATCGAACCGTGCTAATCGCCGCGACAAACAAATCGTTAATCGCTCCCTCCGTTTTAATTCCATCGTCGCGAGAAATCGCTCGAAAACGGCGCCGGAGAGAGGAAATAGAAACGAAGCGCGCGAACGGGGAGAGAGAGAGAGAGAGAGAGAGAGAGAGAAACTCGTCGACACGCTGCTAGAATCTGTTACGTACGCATTGTTAAGCGGTGCGTAGAGAGGTGAGCGAGAGAGAGAGAGAGAGAGAGGAAGAAAAATAGAAACAGTCAGAGAGGAAGAGAGAGAATGATAGCGAAAGGAAGAAAGAAAGAGAGAAAGAAAGAGAGAGAGAGAGAGAGAGAGAGAAAACATCCCGTATATGCAGTATACATATTTCAAGAAAATTGAGCTGGAACGCGATGGAGCGAGAAAAGCTGGAGAAAAACTGTGCACAATATTATGTAACACATGTACATGTATATATAGATATATAGACACGAGTAAAATATAAATATAGAGATACAGAGAGTTACAGATACAGATGCAGATTATATAGATATATATATATAAATATAGTGTAGAATAGTATATAGACATGGAGACACGTAGATTGAGACACGAGTTGGAGTAACAGAGAAAGAGAGAGACAGAGAGACAGACAGATAGAGATAGATATAGTCACAGGCATAGATAATAGACATAGACACAGATATAGATGTAGATATACAGGTGCAGATATATAGATATATATCATGTGCATGTAAAAAATACTTAGCGCATGTAAAAGTAGTATAGTGTACATATTATTTTATTTTTCGGTGTAAGAGTGTGTGAGAGAGAGAGAGAGAGAGAGAGAGAGAGAAAGAGGGGAACAGTGGTACCTGAAAGACCGTGACAAGTGCCCAGACGATGTCGTTGAAATGTTTGCGATCACAGCGACACATTGGGTGCCGCGAGACAACCTCGGCACAGGTGCAGGGCCGACTCCGGTCCGCCCACATGCAAAACTTACCCCCGAACAGGTACATCCCTAGGATGCTGCAACCGAGACAATCCGCTGGCCTAAAGTATCACCGCGATGAACGACGAACAAGGAGGAGAAATTGAACGAGGGAACGAAAAAAAAGGATGTAAGTACCGATCGCCACACACACACACACACACACCGTGAAAACATCCTCGTTCCTTCCTTCTTTCGACTGAATTTTCATAGAGCCATCCTACTTTCTTCGGCATAACACTCTGCGATTCGACCCGCATTTTTTTTTTCTCTCTCTCTTTTCTTTTCTTTTCTATCACCGCGTTTGCGAAGCGTAGCTTTTGAAATTCACGACGCAGATTTCGTCGATACAGTATAGTGTTCAATGTTCTTTGCATCGACTCGATTATTCGACCGAATTTTGTTCTCTGTACGATACACGTGTGTGTGTATAAATGTTTCGAAACGTTAGGCTTGTCAATGTGCGCATTTCTTTGAACTTTTCGCAACGAAATTTCCAAATGTTTTGTATAACATACTGACGATATTAACCTGGACCTAACTTACGCTGGAACTTTCATAGAAAAAATAAATAAATTTTTCATTTCTTAATAATTAAAGAAAATGTTATTAATTTGATTCAACAAAAAAAACATTTAACTTCTTTAATAATTAATTAAAAGAAAGATGATACATTTTTCTTTACTTCTTAATAATTTCCATCCAGTGATCCATCATATACCGACGAGGTCAAGAAGAAAGCGACGAATCTATTGTATATCGGTTCGGTCACTCGTTACGGTCCGCGAATCAGTTGCCAGCGCAATAAATATTTTTACATTTCAGGTTTAATCAACACCTTTAATCGGCACATCGTTACGACATACTGCCAATGAAATTTCTTACGACACACACAAACACACACAAACACACGTAACGTATTCAATGGAACATTCCGCTGCAAACAACCAGCAACAGTGAATCGTCGTACATATACATACATACATAGCTCGACGAAAACGCGGACACGCGTTTGAATTTGTACGGTATCGATCTTCTTCTCCGCACAACGGAGAAAACCGCCGGCCGATTCGAATGTAAAGCTATGGCAAAAATATACGTATCCGGGTTACGTAATCCCTTAAGCGGCGCTTTCGACGTCGGTTCGAATGTGACCGTGAATATTTCAAGGCGGTAATTTCCAGCCGGAATTGCAGCAGCTCGCCCAGTTCGCCAGTTGCGTTAGTCTCGCTTCAGTTTCGGTTGTTCGTCGGCCGTGCGAAACATCACTATGCGCTGTCTGGCCGGCCCGTTGGATGGAAATTGAAAATTGTATTCATGCATTTAAGGATACGAATTATGCGGACTATGCTCTGCCCCGGAGATTTCCAAGGCCGAGCTTTTTAACCACTTGCGCTGGCAATTGCGGACCGTAACGAGTGACCCAACCGTCATACAGTAACGAGTCTTCTTTTTGAATTCGTCGATAAAAATTACCAAGAAGCGACAAATTTATTATTTGTTTTGCCCAGGTTATAGTTAAATATATTTAAAACTGAGAAAATATTATAATTTTGGGCCAAAGTTAATCACGTGCGCTGACAACTGATTGCCGACCATAACGAGTGACCGAACCGTCATACAGTAACTAGTTTTCTTTTTGAATTCTTCGATAGAAATTACCAAGAAGTGACAAATTTATTATTTGTTTCGCCTATGTTATAGTTCAATATACTTAAAACTGAGAAAATATT